GCTTTGATCCAAACACCCAGCATGGACCACTTTCTACAGGTTCTGCCTCCAAATTTTAGTAATTTTATACACACACACACACACACACTTCTAAAAAGGCAACCCTATGTGGTTTTGTGGGTTTTTTTACTGAGAATTGTTCATTTTCATTTAATTTATTATTTATTTTATATCCTGCCTTGACGGTATAAACTTTAATGTTTCTTGGACCCAAGCAAGTGCAGTAACAGAGCATCTGTACAGCAGAGGGACTGAAAGTGTGGCCATGTTGGAAACACCAGGGGTCATTTCGTAGAAAAAGAGGTGCAGGAGCTCTTTAGCATAGCTTATTTGCATATGCCACACCCCCTGACATCACAGGAAGTGTGTCAGAAGGCAACACCCACCACTCAGGCTCCACTGACTGTTTTGGATTGCTAGCTATTGGAGGGGGGGGATACGTGCAGATCTGTCCTCGCAGAGGAGGGAGAGCTTGTACCTGAATAAAACTTGGTCTTAAAGGTGCCACTGGACTGTTTTGGACCAGGCGGCTGGGGGGGCTCTGCAGCTTACCTGGCTGCTTCTTGCTCTGACTGAGGGCTGCTGGGAGCAGGGGGTGGGGCTTGTTGCATGTACCCCACCCCCTGGGCTCTTTACTGCCAGAGCTCCGCTCCTGTGCGCTCCTGCAGGAAATGACCCCTGAGAAACACAATAATCTCCAAGGAACTGCTGAAGCAAAATTTGAATGAAAAAAGTTTCCGTTATCCTCCAGATAATTCTGGTCTGACAAAGGTAGAGACATTCTGGCAAGTAGGCAAACTTCACCAACAACTAGGAAAAAATGAAAGCCCAAACCCTCACGGGGCCCATTTGATTATATATAAAACACAAACCCTGCAAAAGTGATCAAAAGTGACTGAAGGTAACCTCCAGACTTCTCCTTTACCACCTAGTGACAATGACTGGCAGAAATGTTAAAGTAGGAGTCATTTTGAGCAGGCATTTATTTCAGATGAAGGATCACATCTAGGGATGTGTATTTTGGTGGGCTGGGGAGGCAACTGTTTCTTAAGATCAAGTGGTGATTATAATCTTTCATTCAGACCATCAGATCCTTTCTGTAGCCATTTAAACCTAGGGACTGTGGTGCTAAGCACAGAGTTAATTTTTCAGAGACTTCTTATTTTTTTAAAGCCCACATGACTGAAAAATATTTTTGTGGTCAATGTCTGTGGAAGCTTCAGAAGCTTATCTCCTTCTAAATTGCCAGATACATTATGCAAAGTATTGACAGATAAGGAACAGAAAACTCAAAACTACACACTTATGTTTCATTTATTCTTGTTGTAGGACAGAATTTTTAGTGCAGAAGTCACACAGCAGAGTTCACACATCATGTACCACCTTCAGTTTTCCATTTTGGATGAATAGAGGCCTACTTAAATTACTTCAGTTTAACAGATCCAGGTTGGGGTTTTTTAATTCCCTCTTCTCTGGGAGGAAATTAAGCAAAGTGAACAGAGGGAGAATAACAGGTTGCCCCTCTTTGTATCAGGTCTGTAGGGATGCCAACTCCAGGCTGAGAAATTCCTAGAGATTTGGGGTGGAGCCTGTGGAGTCTAGGGTTTAGGAAGTGGGGGGGAAACCTCTGTGTGGTATAATGCCACAAAGTACTCCCTCCAAAATAGCCATATTCTCCAGCAGAAGATCAGTTGTAATACCAGATCGCCAGGTCCCACCTGCAGGTAAGGTCTAATCACAGCAGAGTAAACCTCACCTAGAGTATCGTGTTCAGTTTTGGGCACCACAATTTGTGTCAGGTTACAAGTTTCCGTCACGACATGTTATGATAAAGAGGAAAGGAAACTCCATGATTGTTCTCAGTCACACCTGCTTCTGCCCTGAAACAAGAACAACTTTTTTTTTAGCATGAATTCCTCCCCCATGTAAGAAAAGAACAGAGGCTTTAGTTCTCATTTTTCTACAACCAGGTCCACGTGCAAGATGATGGGACGTCTCAAAGTCTAACATCTGGGCACAGTAAAGGCAGCTGTTGTGAACAACGTTGCCAACCTCCAGATGGGGCCTGTAGATCTCCTGGCATTACCACTGGTCTCCAGGCTACAGAGAGTAGTTCCCCTGGAGAAAATGGTTGCTTTGGAGGGTGGGTGTTATGGCATTATACCTTTCTGAGGCAACCCTAGTTGTGAGGGGCCATTCCCTTCAGACATGCCTCCTGGGCTCTTCTGAAGCAGTTTCTGCTCTAGTGGGGAACCTAGGATTGGCTTTTTGCTACGAGGAAGAAGGAGACGGGCACCAGGAAACATATGGGTAAACAAAATGGCACCCATGCACACCCCACTGGGTATCACTGGCCTAAACTATTTTACAAGGTTGTTATGTAGATAAAATGGAAAACAGCTGAAACTCATCACTAGTCTGAGCTCCTTGGCAAACGGGAGGAACAAAAATGAGACAAATAGAACAGAAAATATGGTTCCATTTACAAAAGGCGTTGCTCACCATGGGCCTAGAACCTAAGCGTGGTGTAGTGGTTAGAGTCTCAGACAAGAGCTGGGTAAGCCTGGGTCCAAATCCTCACTCTGCCCTGAAGCTCTTTGGGTAAGCCCGGGTCAATCACTCTCTCTTTCTCTCTCAACTGAACCCGGAAGAAGTTAAGTGTTCTGCTGGGGTTATAAAACAGGCGTGTGTGTGTTATTTTGGGACGTCACACATTTTTGTCCCCAATCTTTTTGAGCCGTAGAGCACCTTTGGAATTTTGAAAGGCATTGGTGAGCACAACCCCAAAATGCTGGCCACAGGAGGCAGAAACAAACCCAAAAACCTACTTCCTCACAGAACTGAAACAAAAAGAAATGAAGGAAACCCTGAGGGGGGAGAGGGAAAGAAAAGGGAGAATAAAAAGAAACTGAAGGGAACCCGGAGGGAGGGGGAAAGAGCCAATAATAAGCCCTGTCTTACAGTGGCCTCACCTACTTTGAAAACTTGGGGGGGGGGTATGGTAAGAGTAGAATGTCTGAAAAACTTGGTGGGAAGTACTGGCAGGTCTCATGGAACCCATAGGTACCATATTGGGGAAATTCTGCCCTAAAACATGACTGGGTACCTCATTGTCCTCCAGACATTTCACAGCACATAGCAACATTTCACTTACAAAGCTTCCCTAAACTACATACACAGGTTGAGTACACATTCTTGAGGGGAGTCGGAAGTGCAAACAGAAATCCTGAGTTCCTTGAAGGATGGGTTGAATTAAAATGTGACAGATAAATCAGAAAGCTTAAACCAGGGTGTCTGTCTGGGCTCAGTGGTATTCTTTTATTTACATCCCACTTTGGAAATCCAAAGCAGCTTACAATATTCTCCTCCCCTTCTTCATTTTATTCAAATGACAACCCTGAATGGTAGGCAAGGCTGAGAGAGACTGACAGGCCCAAAGTCACCCAGTGAGCTTCCATAGCAGAGTAGGGATTTGAACATAGGTCTCCTAAATTCTACTCAGGCACTCTAACCATGCGAGCTCTAAACCTTTCCCACTCTTTGTTTCTGGTTCGTGTCTGTGCTGTAGCTTCTGTTAAAGTTCAGAGCTCTCATCTGACAAATTTTCAGAACAAAAAAGGGAATGTTAAGGTGTTTCGCTGGGATTGGTCTGCTCATGTATCCCAAGGTGCGATCTCTGGTTGAAGCTTTTCCCGCAGTCTAAGCATTTATATGGCTTCTCCCCTGTGTGGCTTCTCTCGTGGATGAGACTGTACGAGCGTTGGTTGAAACTCTTCCCGCAGTGCGAGCACATGTACGGCCTCTCTCCTGTGTGAATCCTTTTGTGTTCAACGAGAGCTGAGCTGCGGCTGAAGCTTTTCGGGCAGTCCAAGCAGTTGTAGGGTTTTTCACCAGTATGCATCCTCTCGTGCCTGATGAGGTGTGACTTCTGCCTGAAGCTTCTCCCGCAGTCACAGCATTCATACGGCTTCTCCCCCGTGTGTGTTCTCTCGTGTTGACTCAGGCTGGACCTAAAGCAGAAGCTTTTTCCACACTGGAGACATTTATATGGTTTTTCTCCTGTGTGAATCCTTTGATGCTTGATAAGCTTGGAGCTCTCGTTGAAAGACTTCCCACAGTCCGAGCAAGCGTAAGGTTTCTCTTCCGAATGGGACCGCTCGTGTTTAATGAGGCTCGACCGGTGATTGAAACACTTCCCACAGTCCTGGCACTTGTAGGGCTTCTCGCCGGTGTGGATTATTTTATGCGCCATCAGCCATGAGCTCTGGCTGAAGCATTTGCCACAGTCTGAACATTCGTATGGTTTCTCCCCTGTGTGGGTTCTCTCGTGGGCCATGAGGTTCGCCCTGCGGTTGAAGCTTTTCCCACAGTCTGAACACCTGTACGGTTTCTCTCCCGTATGGGTTCTCTCATGTGTAATGATGTGAGATCTCTGGCTGAAGCTCTTCCCGCACACTGAACATTTGTAGGGTTTTTCTCCCGTGTGAGTCCTCTCGTGTCTGATGAGGTAGGATCGCTGTTTGAAAACTTCCCCGCAAAAAGAACACTTGTACAAGTTGTCTCCCAGGTCTACCTGCTGACAATTCAAGCTGCCAAAGCTCTCGTGGAAGCTTCTTGCACAATCAGGTCCTTCCACATAAAGAAGGGCTCTTCTCGTTATTTCCCCAGGATGAGTTACATGCTGATCTACAGGTGTATCAGCATCTTCTTCCAATGATTCCCTGCTGAATATCACTTGCTCTGGTCTTTCTAGCAGATGATTTCCTTCACTTTCATTCAGTTGCACATTGACTGCTGGAAGAAACAAAGAATGATGAAATGAGCATAAGAGAAGTAAGGAGACCCATAGACAAGAAACACGATGAAGTACCGGGGGGGGGGGGGGGGGGGGGGGGGCCCCTACATATGGAAAAAAGCCAGATGTTCCTTCAGATCCATACAAAACACCGGAAAAAAGGGGGGGGGGAGAGAAGGGAAAAACTCAACCCAAGATAACACTGCGAACCAGAAGGGTTAAGCTGACCATATATATTATAAAAATACAAAATTTATTAAGGTGTACACATATTAAAATATATTCGGGTTAAATTTTTTTTTCACGTATCAGACTAATAAAAGCATATCAATTATTAATACACATGATGGGTTAACACTTTCCAACTGAAGACCAAACACCACCTCCAAAAACGAAAATGTCAGACAAAAGCTTAGCCAATACTCAGTTTGTCAGTCTTAGTCATGTAGAAGTAACAGCTTTTAAGTACATGACTATATAACAATGATTTTCAGACTATATTCTTGGGAGTCGTATCAAGCTTTCCTCAAAGGGAGATCAATAAGGGCAGAAAAGCTTCCCAAAAAGAGAGATCACCAGAGTGCACCAGACTGCAGGGCAGGGTTCAGCAACTTTTGTGAACACGGTCACCATGTGGGGAAGACAATCACAATAGTGATTCTTCCCTTCTTTTTTCCTTTTGCCGCCACCAATCTGGGAAAAAAATCAGCCCCTGTCTCTCGTGGGGCCACCCAAGGCTGACACCACAGAGGTTTATTGGTTTAGCATGCCAAGTATCAAAGCCGGTGGGTAAGGAAATCTGCAGACTCTCTAATTCAGGGGTATCAAACATAAGGTCCGGGAGCCAGAACTGGCTCGTCCAGGGCTCTTATGCGGCCCACAAGCAACTAGTGCAAGGGAGGGAACAGGAGACTGCCTGGGGGGGGACTGCCTGGGGGGGGGGGGGGGGCGGGGCAACTCTGATTGTGGCTTG